CAATGACCTACTTCCTCCAGCTATGCCTCTTCTCCCACAGTTACCACCCAGTAATCATTCAAACTATTAAGGAAGCAAATGGGTGAATGCAATGATTACGTTACAGCTCTCATAATCTAATCATTTCACCTCTGAACATTTCTTCATTAGCATGTGAGTTTTTACAGCTGTCACCTCATATCCAAACCATAACAGAAGCTTATATCTAAGATCAACTTTACCACTCTATGCTCGTTTCATGTATTATCCTGGTTTTGTTCTAAATAGTTGACATCAAAGCATTTTGGCCAACCCCAACACAACCCAGGGTTTGCTATTTTCTCCAATAAAAATGTGTATATGTCTTATATTTTGAATATACTTTTCATGTTTCTGTGATATTCTAGGTGTAAATTCTATTATACCAATGTTGTTTCAGTCAGCTGTGACCAAAATTTGTGACAGGAACGGTGTAGAGGGGGAAAGATTTATTTTGGCTCTTGGTTTCAAAATTGAGTTCATGGTCAACTGACTGTATAGCCCTGGGCCCAAGGTAAGTCAGAATATCATGGCAGGAGGGTATGAAAGGGAAAAGCTGCTCAGGACATGACAGCCAGGAAGCAGAGAGCTTTGCTTACCAGGGACAAAATATAAACTGGAATGACATGACCCTAGTGATCTACTTCTTCCAGTTACATCCTACCTGCCTACAGTTAATGCCCAGTTAATTCATATCAGTGAACCAATCCATTGATTAATCAAAGATTTCATCATCTCATAATTTTATAATATTCTATGTAATATATACAATATTATATATTATTTATATATTACACCTCAATATTATATGTTACATATAATATTGTATATAATATAATAATGTAATTATTGTATTATATGATAATTATAATTTATTATATTATATACATATTTATAATATTCATAATCTCTGAATATTCTTGTATTTTCTCACACATGAAATTTTGGAGGGATACCTCATATCTAAACCATAACAAATGTAGAATTCAAAACATATTAAAGACATCATTCAGCCTCTATTGCTTCTTGTTTCTAAAGGCAAATGATTAGAGTTTAGCTTCTACTATGAAAGAACACATATGGGATGGAACTGAGAACTGAGTAAAATGGAAAAAGAGGTTGGACGAAGGGTAGTCATTTTTGTTGGCTTATGTTTAGCAAAGACAGCTGAGTTCTAGAGTCAGCCACTAGGAAGACAAATTCCTGATTCTATTACTTTATGATCATGACAAAGGCAGTATTGGTACTACATCCCTACATCAAAACAACAACAACAAAAAACAAACAAACAAAAAACTGCAGCTTTGGCTTCCAGTTTTTATAGTTTCCTTCCTAAGCATGGAAGAAAGTACAAATCTGGAAACAATATTGATGTAAGTAGTTTCCTCAATCATATCTTCCAGTCAAAGAGAGAGCAGTGAATCTTGCCTTAAGGATCTTTCTTGGCATGCCTTTTATGTTCTTCAAACTCTTTATATTTCCCAATAAATCTCTTTCTGATGAAATTATCTATAGTGGAGTCTATTATTGGCAACTATGATTCCTAATGGAACAAACTGCTGTGGGGTTGGTAACATAGAGGCCAGAAACAATGAGATAAAAAACATTGCAAAAGAAATGATTATTATTGTTACTATTATTATTATTATGTAAATTATTTATGAATGCTTAAAGTTGTTTATAATTTTGTAACATTCTGGGTTCAGTGATAAATTGTTTGCTTTGTTTTGTTAACACCCATCCACACCTCAACATGAGCCGGCATTCCAAAAGGATACAAGAGGCTGACACCAGAACCACTATTCTAGTTTTTACTGGGTGTTTGTAAAACTGATTTTCTCACATGACATGTTCTCAATTCTTTCTCATGGGACTGTACTTTGCTTAATAAGGAAAAAATTGGTGAGGAGTAAGTATATAAAGTTTATTCTTAGTTTCCGCCTGTATTTCATGCTCTAGTCATTCAAATACCCTCACCTACAGAATTACTATAGGCAATTTATCACTGAGCATAGTCTCAGAGTGCTTAGATCAGAGTCCTCTTGCTTTTCATTTCAACAGATGCTAATCACAAAGGGTTCTTATTTGTTGTGGGGAAAAATCTCTATCCGTCTTTAACAGTCCATTTGGTCTCTCATTTTGCAGTAATAGAAAACCAGCTGTGTAACTAAAACACATGCATGACATAATTCTCATCAAATGATATTAACTTACTCAGGTAAAATATTGAATATACAATAACTTGAAAATAATGTATTATGAGCCACTGGTTTGCTTCAGTTTTATGTTTTATATACCTAGCCTAAATTAACATTTTACTAAGGAATAAGAATTTTAAAAGCACTAGTATAGTGTACATTCCATAAAGAACAAGGACAGTGTGTTAACTCATCTTTCATCAATGTGACAGAAACAACAACAACAAAATAATAAGAACAACGTAGAGGGGTAAGTAAGTAACTTCTGATATCAGAAGTTCAGTCCATAGAGAGCTGACTCCTTTGCTCTAGGTTCAAGATGAGGCAAGAGCATTCTGGTTGAAGGACATGGTGAGAAGTGCTGCTCCATTCATTGCATCAAGGAAGCTTCCTTCCAGGGCATACCCGCAGTGACCAACCTCATCCAATCACCTGCCTACTGTTATCACTTAGTCCATTCAAATTAGGACAGACTGATTTGATTACAGCTCTTGGAATCCAATCATGTCTCCTCCAAACAGAGAGATTTTTAGGGGACACCACATATCCAAACCACAACAGAAAAGTTCTTAAACTCATCTCCAAAGTAAATTTAAGGAAAAGAGCAAAAAATTGCCTGAATTGTTCAGAACTATCAGTCTTTTGTATATTTTAAAAAATCCCATTTCTTGAAGCCATAGGGGAAAGAAAGAATAGAAATGACTGAGCCCTAGAGAAGAGGGGATAAACATCTGATAAACAGAACTTTTTTTTCTAGAATACTCTGAGTTTCACCCTCATGGTTTCTGTCAAAGATAATCATAATAAAAAATAACTAAAACAAAAACAAAGAATGAATTTGCTTTGAATCAGTCTGCGTGTCCCAAATTCAAATTCTTCATTATATTAAGCTATACAATTTTTTAAATTTTTTTAGTCTGAGTCTTTCTTTAATTTAGCCTTCTGATAAAATATATTCAAACTTTTTAATTAGTGTAGAATATTTAACTAGTTTAAATTTAAAATTATGTGACTATTAAGTGGGAATTTAAAAAATAAAATAAAGAGGATTCCCTAGTTACCTTCACTCCCTTTCTACACTCTTCTGGAGAATTTCAGTACCCTGTATTGCATTATGCAACTTATCTCCTTGTTTCATTAAGTTCCTAACTCATAAATTAGTAAAATTTTTCGGTAAAGAATCATTTAGTGGATATTGTATGCTTTTGTCTCTGTTGCAAATACTTAACCGTATTGCACAAGCACAACCACAGATAATAATTAAACCAACAGATCTGACTATGGTACAATAAAACTTTTTGTAATATAAAAATAGGGATTAGACTAGATTTGGTGTATAGACTACTGTTTTCTGACCTCTGCCCTTAAATTAATTAACCAATCAATCAAAATAATTTGTTTTAAAAAAGCACACCACCAGTTTGGTAACTGTAACATTTAAAATATTCTTTGGAGATGGATATAGTGGATTTTTTAATGTCAGGTAAATGTTATTTAACAAATAATATCAAAGGACATTAGATTTGGGGTCCAAGGCAGAAAAGCAAGTAGTGGTTTCAACATTTACAAAACAAAATGTCCAGAAAATCAAAAGCTTTTGCATAGGAAATATGGTCAGGAGAAAACAGGTGGTTATTTGCTCCTTCAGAGCATTATGTTCTAAATTTATAGACATTCATCTTTCTCTTCTGCTTTCTTTCCAAAATCCATTTGATGAACAGACTTGTCTTCTGGTATAAAGACTATGGATCATTTGAATGAAGTAACCTGAAAAGGATGAATATTGAAAAGTGTTCAAATGAATTGAACTTAGCACTTAGCTTGAAGGAGTCTTTCAATAAACAAATGTTTTGGTATCTTTTTTTTTCTTTGAAAGGTAATTATTTATTATGGTAGAAATTACATAAAATACACATTGATTTATTGTGCATGTTTCATGTTAATTGAATCTTCAAGTTGGATAGCTGCTATAACTTGATATATTTACTTCTTGGTATTGTCTTGGCAATATATGCAATTTTTGATTTCTTATTGAGGATAATGCATATAAGTTTCAGAAATAACCTTTAAGCACCAAGACAGAACTTTTGATGTCCATTTTGATTGTAGTTATTTTAGGCTTAAAACAGCCAAGATCCCATTCCACATGAAAACATACACTAACCCTCTGAGAGTTGTCAAAAGAAACATTAATTCCCCATATTCATTGATAAAGACAATTTCATTTTGCTGCTGCTTCTTTCCTCTTCATTTCTTTCTTAATAGTTTTATTTACATGTATTCATGCTAGACATACAAAATGACATTAATGCACTTCTAAGAGTTTGGAAGATGATAGAGCAGAGCATATCAAAACTATCCTAGAATCTGTGTCAACATTTATTCTTTATCTCGAAATAAAGAAATGAAGATTATTAATTTGAAATAAACATGTATTTATAACCATTAATATAACATGCTTAACATACATACCCATGTTTTATAATACACATTTATCCACTTATATTTAATGTATAGATTGACATTAGTAACTTCACTTAGTTTCTATTAAAGATGACCCTGTCTCATATGGAATTGCCAATATATCCTGAGCAAAGAGTCAATATTCCCTGATGTGGAATGCATGACTATAATTGCTGTGGAAAAGTCTCAATATGTCTCATTTTATATTATGTGTTGTGAGTGATTTTATTTTAAAATAGCATGCCAATTAAAATATAAACTTTTTTCCAAGCCACTAAAGAAATATCAGAAAAGCAGTAAAGAAATTTCAAGAAGGTCGGCTCGAGTGCTCCCGGTGAGGAGGAGGTGTCCTCGGCTGTGCCGCCCTCCGCCGCCGTCGCCGGGCTGCGCCGCTAGAGCCGGGACGCGCCTCTGCGCTCCTCGCCGCCTGCACCCCCGCGGCCGCCGCTCCCCTCGCCGTCCGCACACCCACCATGACGAAGAATGAGAAGAAGTCCTTCAACCAGAGCCTGGCCGAGTGGAAGCTCTTCATCTACAACCGGACCACCGGAGAGTTCCTGGGGCGCACCGCCAAGAGCTGGGGTTTGATCTTGCTCTTCTACCTAGTTTTTTATGGGTTCTTGGCTGCACTCTTCTCATTCACAATGTGGGTTATGCTTCAGACTCTGAACGATGAGGTTCCAAAATATCGTGACCAGATTCCTAGTCCAGGACTTATGGTTTTCCCCAAACCAGTGACTGCGTTGGATTATACATTTAGTGTATCAGATCCAAGTTCCTATGAAGGGTAGGTTAAAGACCTTAAGAAGTTTCTAAAATCATATTCTGGAGAAGAACAGAGTAATCTCAAAGTCTGTCCTGATGGAGTTCCTTTTGAACCAAAGGGTCCAGTTTATACTGCATGTCAGTTTCCTCTTGCCTTACTCCAAGAATGCAATGGTATAGATGATCCTGATTTTGACTATTCCAAAGGAAAACCTTGTATTCTTGTAAAAATGAACAGAATAATTGGATTAAAACCTGAAGGAGATCCAAGGATAGAATGTGTTCCAAAGGATGGAAGCACAGCAATTGTAGAAACATATCCTAATCTTGGAGTTATAGACTTAAAGTATTTTCCATATTATGGGAAAAAACTGCATGTGGGATATCTGCAGCCATTAGTTGCTGTCCAGGTCATCTTGGGATCTAATAGTACCAGGAATGAAGTAACAGTTGAGTGCAAAATTGATGGATCACCCAACCTAAAAAACCAGAATGATCGTGACAAGTTTTTGGGACGAGTTGTGTTCAAAATTATAGCACTTGCATAGTATGTGTAGGATGTCTCTACAGAATAAATGTTGTGTTGTCTGTCTTCATTTTGCATCAGCTGGACTTGCCATTCTAGAATTGAGACCACCTTGGAGAAGGTGTGTGGTACATGACACTGGGGTGACATCATAACGTGCTTCCAGATCATAGTGTTCAGTGTCCTCTGAAGTAACTGCCTGTTGCCTCTGCTGCCCTTTGAACCAGTCCATTCGCCTGATAGGGACCAGTGAACACCTGATTCTGAACACGTAGGATGGGGTCTTGCCCTCTTTTTATGTGGTTTAATTGCCAAGTGTCTAAAGCTTAATGTGCTGTGCTATGTAAATATTTTATGGATTTAACACTGGTTAACTGTCATATTTTGATGCCAACAAAGTTTTAGGGATAAAATGGTACCTGGCCAACATCAAGTGACTTTATAGCTGCAAGCAGTGTGTGTGGAGAAGTTCTGTATGTGAGGAGGAAAAAAAGAAAATAAAAGTGGATCTAAAAGTGTAAAAAAAAAAAAAAGAAATTTCAAAAAGAATAAATATCATCAACTATTGTTTTAAAAAAAAACAATCATTTATTATTGTTTTAAAGAAACTACTTAAAATTATGTTTTAAAGAAACAAATTTGTTTTGTGGAATATTTTTATAAACACAATTCCCAGTTGAAAAAGTGGCTTGATTAGAATAAAAAATAAACAAGCATTTCAACCACTGAAAGGGACTCTAAGTAGATTTCATTATTACTACCTTTTTCCTATTCCACTATTTCCTTCCCTACTTCTGTATTGAGATGAGTTCTTGAAGTTCATCTCCCATCATGCCACTACCTCTGTAAACATTCCTTTCCTGAAAGAATTGTGTTCACCACTTTGTGATTATATTATTTTTTCCTCATCTTTCAACATTTTACTAAAAGCAGATACTCTTGCCACATTAGACTACATGAGCATTTCTATATAGGCTTTGTCTAGAAAATCATGGACTTTTCTCTTCCCCTTCTCTATCAAACCTTTGCATTGTTAAATGCTATCTTCTTCATAAGTTATTTTCTATCCTCCCCATTGAGATTTTACCTTATTCTCTTATGTTCTCATTTTTCATAGTTGTCTTATCTTTTATGTGGTTTGAAAGAAACGACTTATTTTTTTTCTTATTTGTCATTGTCCACATTAGGATTCTTTGATGAGTTGAATTGGTTTCTCCTTCTCCAGGACCACAAACTGTCTCTACTTGATTTCTTTCTGAGCCCCATCACTGAATATTGACAACCCTTTAGTATGAAAAATAATTTTTCAAAAATTTTGCAGCCATTTTTATGTTTAATTAAATCATGTACTTCAGGAGGGCAAAACCTGTGAATTAGTTTTTATTCAATCCTGGTGACACCTAAACCAAAGCTTACTAATTTTATGACAGTTAGTAGGTATTTGTTAACTAAGAACATAAGCATTATTTCTGATTTAATACTATGGTTTTGCTTAGTAATGGACCTGCACTCAATATATTTTGTATCAGATTATAATTTTCAAAGACAATTGCATAATATTTCTCTTCCATGAACATTGTCTATATTAGGAAGTAAGTTGTCCGTACTCTCCTCTTGCACTTGAGTAGGCTCTTGGGTTACTTATAAATAATACAATGCTGTGGAAACAACACAGATAACTTCTGAATCTTAGTTATAAAAGGCTCTGGGGCTTCTTGCTTTGTTTTCCAGAACATTCTTACTCGGAGACTTGAGTAGCCATATAAGAAATCTGACTTCTGTGAAACTACCACTGTCTGAGGAAGCAAGGAGAGGATACATGTAGACTCTACAGTTTGAAATCACAGTCTTCTGAGTTCAGGTGTCAGTCATGTGAGTGTTATAGTCTGAACATGTTTGTTCCCTCAAAAATTCATGCTGAAACTTAATGCAATAGTATAGGAAAGCATGTCCTTTGGGAGGTGATTACCTCATAAGAGCAGAGTCTTTATGAATAGGATCAGGGGCTCTTATGAAAGGCCTTGACAGAGAGAGTTCACTCCTTTCCCACCTTCTGTCTCATCTACCAGATACAGAAACATGATCCTTCCCTCTAGAGAATGGGGCATCAAGGTGCCACATTGGAAGCAGGAAGCCCACAAATAAATTATTATCAGAAAAGCACCACTAGGGATTCATATTAGAGTTGCAGCTAGCATCATTCAAGAGTTATGTGGTATATTTTTATCATCCAACTAAAATGAAGTAAAAAAGACGGGCACTGCAGTCAAGTTCATATCAATGCATCGAAGGGAAAGAATCAGCTAATGTTATACTTGCTTACTGACATCATTAATTAGTGATATTCATTTGATCTAGCTGTATAAAAATAGTAGATAAAATTTATTCTTGAAATAAACCATGGAGACTAAAATTGATAGTAGTACCTAAGAGAGAGGAAAGGTGATATTTTGGAGTTCGTTTCATAGTACAAATCTATATATCACAGTGCCTTTTTAATGCATCCCTACATTAATCTTAGATTTAATGTGTGAAGTATATGGAACAAAGAGACCTTAAGGATTGTATCAGAGAAGAAGGAACTTGGCTTTGTTTTTACTATTTTTGAGCACATATTGGTTTGACTAATTCCCAAGAGCTATATTTTAGTAATACATATTGAGGGTCAAGTTTTATTTATTTATATATTCAAATTTGCAGGAAATTCTCCAAGATTCCAAGGAGAATGTCCTCTTTCTCCATTTACTGTAGGATTATTTCATTGCCTAGTACATGTTTCTATGGAATTAAAGTAATGTGATTTGAGTTGGAATAAATTTGCCTCACTCAAAAAGAAAAAAAAATAAGTACCAAACTTGTAGGTGCTTTTTATTTGATTCATTTACTCAAAAAAACAAAATTTTATTTGTAATTATTGGTTTGATTCTTTTGAGGAGATGCCAATACTCACCATACTTACCTAAGACAAATATTTATAAATAATTACCTAATTTTCCTCATTTAGTCTGGTAATAGGGTCAGAATTAATAATGGAGTGATTCATTGAATATCTATGAAATTCTGAAAATTGGTGTATGACTTGAAATGTTGTCATCCTTGTTTACTGGTATCATTAATTGATATTTAATAGAGATAACTATATACTTAATTGGGAATAATTGAAATTAATATCTAGAACTTGCTACCAACTGATTATTTTAATCTGACATTTATATGTATGCAACTTCTATAGATTAGATAAATGTCTACATTTACAAACATATATTAAAATTTTAATAAAACTGTGTGCAATTAAGTTTTGTACCTTAAGTATGTCTGAAATTCTTTTTAAAAAATATATATATACAGGGACTGGGGTTGTGTCTCAAAGGTAGAGCCCTTGTCTATCATGCCTGAGGCACTGGGTTCGATCCTCAGTACCACGTAAAAATAAAATAAAGGTACTGTGTCCACCCACAACTAAAAAATAAGTTAAAAAAAATTATTTACAATTTCTTTCCAGAGCAGTTGGAACAGAAACGTATAAAAAAACTTTCTTCTTCATGTTTTCTTTAGTTTCTGCTCTATAACAATTCAAACCTAACCATAGGTAAGTTACATTATAATCAAAGTGCTTCAACAAAGAGCATAGACACTTATCCAGCAAAGGATATGGGTAGGAATATTGTAGGATACAATTATGTTGTCCTATAAATGGAGGCAAATTCTTAAAAAGATTTTTTTGTTTGAACTTCCATATCTCTGTGATTAAGTTTTTTATTGATTCAATTTAGTTATGCATGACAGTAGAATTCAGTTTGACATAATTATAAAAGCATAGGATATAACTTGTTCTAATTCAGTCCCAAGTACTTTCCCTTCATCTCCCCTCCTCCCTTTCCCTTTTCCTGCCCCTCTATTCTATTAATCTTTTTGCTGTCTACTTATAGTTTCTTTTTAATTAGTGTTTTGTGGGTGTGTGTGATGGTGAGATTCACTGTGGTATATTCATATGGGTACATAGGAAAGTTAGGTCAGATTCATTTCATTGTCTTTCCCTTCCCTTCATTTCCCTTTGCCTACTCCACGGATCTTTCTTCTGTTCTTTTTTTTAAATATTTATATTTTAGTTGTAGTTGGACACAATACCTTTATTTTTATGTGGTGCTGAGGATCAAACCCAGCGCCTCACACGTGCTAGACAAGTGTTCTACTGCTGAGCCACAACCCCAGCCCTTTTCTTCTATTCTTAAGAAGAAGAATGACTTTATGACATTTGCCAGTAAATGAATGGAACTGGAGACTATCATGCTAAGTGAAATAAGCTAATCACCAAAAGTCAAAGATCAAATGTTTTCTCTGAAATGCAGAAGCTAATCCCAAATAAAGAATGGGGAATGAAACAAAAAAGAGTGAGAGAGAATAGAATAAAGATCTATGATTAAGTTTTGAGGCACTGCTACTTTAGGAAAAAAAGCTTTTAAGCTTAAATCACCATTAGTGTAATGTTCTTCCTAAAGACAGATGGGCATGTTTCTAGCTGAGAAGTTGAAAGGTGAGAAAAGGCGAAGCTAAAACTATCCTCACAGTACAGTGTTTCACTTAATGATAAATGGTACTGCTTCAACCTGAGAAGATGAAAGATTTTGCGTTTACTTTGAAGCACAGCAAAAGCCAAGTGCTCACTACTACTGATTTCAGGTGTGTCTAAGTAAGTGGAGTAGATGGTAGAGTACAAGCCATTATTACACTGAGAAAATTGTCATTACTTGTCTCTCTCTTCTGGAAAACACATTTGATGCTGCCAAGGAAAATCTTGTTGTCCATAGAAGAAAATTCAAAAAAAATTAAATGCTTAATCAAATGATCTTTTAATTCTTTTTCAGAAGAATATTTTAGAAAAAAAAAACAGATCAAAGCTCACCAAAATTAGCAGTTTATTACTTTCCAAAACCTTTTGTAATTGAGTACTTGTAATGTGAAGCATCCATCAAAGAATTTCAATTTATTTTGCTTAAACATATCACATCCATAAAAAGAGAAATTATTGCATAATTTGTTGATCAGATTTTGTGTACACAAAACATCTTAAAAATAGAAGATGACTTGCTTTTAAGCGAAGAAAGGGGCAAGCAAGAAAGGAGATATGAATCAGTATTTGAATATATGCAAGTGTCATGATGTCTACCTCCCAGATTTTCATTCAAACATTTCTCACAAAAAGGATTATTTTTCAATTTTCTATAAAGGAATGGTCCACATTTATATATCTCCACTGGCCTATGACCAGTGTTATTAGAGAGTGAACAGAGCATTCAGTCAGTATTATCCTAGAAATTATAATTCTTAAAAGAATACTATTCCACCATCTACAATGACAACACAACTGAGATGTAGATAAACTAAAACTTAAATACCTAGAAATGAACAGAATAATTAGTGTCCATGAAAACATGTAATAGCTCTCAATTTCTTCTTAGATTAACTGTAAAGTTGTTCTTATTTAGCTATAGATCTTGCTCTAATTAAAAAGAAAATG